TAACACCACTAGGAGGGCTGACAGCCGCACCGTAACACCACTAGGAGGGCTGACAGCCGCACCATAACACCACTAGGAGGGCTGACAGCCATCCATAACACCACTAGGAGGGCTGACAGCCGTCCATAACACCGCTAGGAGGGCTGACAGCCGCACCATAACACCACTAGGAGGGCTGACAGCCATCCATAACACCACTAGGAGAGCTGACAGCCGCACCATAACACCACTAGGAGGGCTGACAGCCGTCCATAACACCACTAGGAGGGCTGACAGCCGCACCATAACACCACTAGGAGGGCTGACAGCCGCACCATAAAACCACTAGGAGGGCTGACAGCCGCACCATAACACCACTAGGAGGGCTGACAGCCGCACCATAAAACCACTAGGAGGGCTGACAGACGCACCGTAACACCGCTGAGAGTGTCAACAATTAACACAATTGTTGTGGCGTTGTAAGTGTGTGACTGACACACACTCACCACTACCAACAGTCAGTGGGACTGATTGTGTTGACAGTTCCACTCTTGTTAATCAGTCACGAATTGCCTGGTCGAAGCCCAGCTGATTACCTATTAAAATGAAATTGCAAATTTCCATTTTGCTAACTATTAATTCGGAAATTAATAATTGACACAACTGGTGATTTAACTATCGTTCACTCCCCAATTCGCGCCAGTTATATCACTCACTAATTTGTTAAATATATTTTAAATATATTTGCCTAATTTTATCAGGAAATAATTTTTCATATATTATTATCGAAACATATTTACATTTGTTTATGCCTGTCACTCATGTTTAAACTTGAAGTAAACTGTAATTACTTCACATACACTAATTAATGTAGACTTAAAGATAAGAGACGGTCAGGCAATCAGCGTGCGTTAATTGGGTTCCCTGCACCTAGCTGCAGGTATGTGGGTGTTGCCTGGCTGTAGGTGTGTGTGTGGGTGTTGCCTAGCTGCAGGTATGTGGGTGTTGCCTAGCTGCAGGTATGTGGGTGTTGCCTAGCTGCAGGTATGTGGGTGTTGCCTAGCTGCAGATGTGGATATCACCTAGCTGCAGGTGTAGCATAGTTCCGGCAGTACCAAATGTCTGTATTATCTACTCTCATTTCCACCCACTATCTGCACCACTACTCAAGCACTACACACCCACCGTTGCTCCTACCCTCCCATCACCGCCGCCCACAGGTGCGCCCACCCTCAGCACCACCCACAGGACTCATAAGTCCTGCAGGGGAACGCGAGCCTCAACACTGCCTACTCTATGCTCGCCTGAATCTGGGATGCTGGTTAAAGGGGCCGTGGCCTCTAACCCCTCAGGTTTAGCCATCTTTTGTGTCAGAGAAGCTACTGAGGCCCCTTTGTTTACCTCCAGTCCGCCGGCAGCGGCTCCGAGCCCTCAGAGTGCTTTTAACCCTTTATGTATGAATGTAAACTTGGGGGACGCTTGCCGAGCGATCACTGTTTTACCTCACTCTCTTTTTCTCTCTCGACGGATTGGATAAGGAAGACAATGGCTCAATAGGGTTCGCTTTGAGGTTTCCCAATGGCTTCTATAGGAAGAAGGCGTCAGTTGTTGTCTTAGAACAGAGCAGAATGAATTCTGTGTCTTGCAACTCAACTATGTAATGGGAGTATCTGAATTTGTTTTTTTTCTGTCTGTGTCTGTCTGTCTGTCTTTCTGTCTCTGTCTGTCTGTCTTTCTGTCTTTCTGTCTGTCTGTCTGTCTGTCTGTCTGTCTGTCTGTCTGTCTGTCTGTCTGTCTGTCTGTCTGTCTGTCTGTCTGTCTGTCTCTCTCTCTCTCTCTCTCTCTCTCTCTCTCTCTCTCTCTCTCTCTCTCTCTCTCTCTCTCTCTCTCTCTCTCTCTCTCTCTCTCTCTATCTCTCTTTCTCTTTCTCATTTGTTTTTTACTAAGACGTGAGTTCGTTAGGAATGAGGTTAATGTTAATAATGAAAATCCTAGGTAAGAGCTGCTGTTATCCTTCATGAGTTCATCATCAGCCTGCCGCTAGATACTCACCTCTTGTATAAACGTATTATTATATTTTCATTGGTCATAAACTTTATTTAATGTTAGGCACAGGATGAAGATGTAGCAACAGTGCTCACTTGACTACAGGTATGTCTACACGATGACTCCTGATGGCACACATAGTCGTGGCACTGTGCCTCTCCGAGTGCCGTCACACGGTCCTCAGGCCAGGCTCAGGGACTCGAACAACAGCAACTGAAGAAATAAAACGTTCTCTCATAGGCGTCGCACAAGTTTAAAGGTCACGTTAAAAACCTGCAGAAGGTCAATTACTGGCTAGTATGACCTCGGTCGACCTCTCACTGGGATGGTATATAAGGCGGCCACACACACTCACCCTCACACTCACCCTCACATCCCTACAACATGAAGCTCGTGAGTACTCGAGCTTGTGCTTGAGGGCACTTACAGAACCGCCTCATAAATGGTTGTTTATTTAGAAGCTTTATTCATAACAGATTTATTGTTATATTATAATTACTGATTAAACTTTATTTCAGATCTTGATGGTTGCCTTGACTGCTGTGGCAGTGGCCGACAAGTTGCCAGAAACCGTTCCAGTCGTCGCCATCCTCCGCAGCCAGCAGGCCAACCCCGACGAGCTCGGTGCCCACAGCTCCGACTTCGAGGCTGACAACGGCATCAAGGTCCAGCTATCTGGCTCTGAGGGAGCTGCTGGCGGCTCCAACATGGCCGGCTCCTGGAGGTGGGTCACGGACTTGACTTAATTTGGAGTGTTTTGGGTGCTACAGCTCTGCATGTTTCAAGGACGCCGTTCATATGAGTCTTCTAACAATTATTTTCCTCTCAGCTACCCCAGGAGGACGGCAGTATTGCGTCAGTGAAGTTCGTAGCTGACGAGAACGGCTTCCAGCCCGAGTCTGACCTGCTGCCCGTGGCCCCGGAGTTCCCCCACCCCATCCCCCAGTTCGTCCTCGACCAGATCGCCTTCGCCGAGGAGGAGAGGAAGCGCAAGGCTCAAGAGGAAGCCTAGGTTGAGTAACACTCAACATGCAGCAGTCGAGGCTGAGTTACTCAGTATGAGGCAGCCTGAGTTGAGTAAATTTCAAGATGGTCACTCAGCCTAAGACTCAAGCCAAACTGCAGGTTCCTCATGCTGAGTACTCACTAAGACGACCTCTGACCCCTCAACCCACGTCTCCTGTTGTTGAATATAGAGATCCCTCTTGATAATTTATTTGTTAATGCAAAGCTCTGTAAATAAATCTTCAGTGTTATTCTACCTGTTTCCTGATTCCTTGAAGGAAAGTTACGATGCTTGATCTCAAGAGCATCGATCCTCCAGCACACAGCCTGGCCATAACGTCCGGGGCCTCCACTTGTCTACTGTGGTTCCTGGGATTATAATCTGAGAATGTTGTAAATTGTAAACAATTGTCAGTGCTATCATCTGTTTTCTGAATCTTAAAAAATGTTCTAAGGGACATTGGGGAATCTAACTGTTTATGAAAGAAATATTATTCCGGTTTGCTGATGGCTTGTTTAAGACAGTTAATACATGTGACATGACTGCAACTATCAGAGTCAGCATGTTAATGTGTCTTAACATGCCAACGACTGACATTGTCACCAAGTTCATGTGTCGTGACATGTCTGTGACTGAAGTATGACTGACATTCATCTCCGGGGGTGTGCCACTTAACGCTGACCTTTGAGGTAAGATGCAGCCACTGCTTAATGCGTCCATTGAGGCTCAAAGGTACCCTAATAAATTTGTCTAAATATTGATAAAACTCTGAACTCTGACATTAATTGTTCCTGGAATTCCTTGCCACTATCATTGTGCTCATATCGTTACTTTGAACACTGGGATCAATGGTTTGTCTAATTAAAAATATATAAACATAAGAATATTGGAAACTGCAAAAAGGCCTATTGATCTATACGAGGCAGCTCCTATATATTTGCACTTAAACATTCATATAATGTCTGACCTCCGCTCGAAAAATCCAACTATTCCTAAGCCTATTATGTAGCCCTGTACTTTGTTCCATCAACGTATTTGCTCTGATGTTAACCAGGTTTGTCCTGTATCCAAAAAATCTTGTTTATATCCATTGTTTAGAGTTCTATTGTTTGTTGATATAATAAATACTTTATTTATACCCCTTTTGTTACACTCTTATCAATTTATATACTTTATTCATGAAAGTATATATACTTCGTCTTTATAAAGACTATCAATATACATTTTTTAATCTCTTCATTAGAGAGGTTTCTAATTCCTGGGATTAATTTTGTCATCCTATTCATTCAAGATTAAGCTTGAGAGTAATATTAGCTGTCTTGCTCTTGTTGTTCTTAACGCTTGTAGAAATAAATCCCAGTATTCTATTTGCCATTTTCCCGATTCAAAATGTCGCAGCCATTTGATTTTGTTTTGTTCAAGATGTTGATTTCAAAATCAACATCTTGAAATATACAGGAAAGATTGAAAACATAAATCGTCCCTTAGGTAAACCCTGTTGTAAATAGTTTATTAATGTGAGTTTTTTGAAGATGTAATTGTGTTTATAAGTAATGCAAGTTTATTATTTACGTGGCATAGTAAATTTATCGGAACTGGAGACGAAATCTAGAAATTCGAACATGAACTCCAGGTGAAGGAATTGAAGGTAGTCACCATAGCTTCCTCAGTAATGAATGGAATTCCAGTTATGATGAATATCGTTCGAGGTATGATTACTGTCGCTGGAGGTATGATGACTACCGCTCTAGGTATGACGATTTTCTCTCCGTGTATGAAACCTTTTGCTCCAGGTACAGTTTTAAATGAAAAGCATATTCACGTTTTCTTGATAAAAATATATCATGTTAAGAGGAACCACAGTAGACAAGAGGCCCCGGACGTTATGGCCAGGCTGTGTGCTGGAGGATCGATGCTCTTGAGATCAAGCATCGTAACTTTCATTCAAGGAATCAGGAAACAGGTAGAATAACACTGAAGATTTATTTACAGAGCTTTGCATTAACAAATAAATTATCAAGAGGGATCTCTATATTCAACAACAGGAGACGTGGGTTGAGGGGTCAGAGGTCGTCTTAGTGAGTACTCAGCATGAGGAACCTGCAGTTTGGCTTGAGTCTTAGGCTGAGTGACCATCTTGAAATTTACTCAACTTAGGCTGCCTCCTACTGAGTAACTCAGCCTCGACTGCTGCATGTTGAGTGTTACTCAACCTAGGCTTCCTCTTGAGCCTTGCGCTTCCTCTCCTCCTCGGCGAAGGCGATCTGGTCGAGGACGAACTGGGGGATGGGGTGGGGGAACTCCGGGGCCACGGGCAGCAGGTCAGACTCGGGCTGGAAGCCGTTCTCGTCAGCTACGAACTTCACTGACGCAATACTGCCGTCCTCCTGGGGGTAGCTGAGAGGAAAATAATTGTTAGAAGACTCATATGAACGGCGTCCTTGAAACATGCAGAGCTGTAGCACCCAAAACACTCCAAATTAAGTCAAGTCCGTGACCCACCTCCAGGAGCCGGCCATGTTGGAGCCGCCAGCAGCTCCCTCAGAGCCAGATAGCTGGACCTTGATGCCGTTGTCAGCCTCGAAGTCGGAGCTGTGGGCACCGAGCTCGTCGGGGTTGACCTGCTGGCTGCGGAGGATGGCGACGACTGGAACGGTTTCTGGCAACTTGTCGGCCACTGCCACAGCAGTCAAGGCAACCATCAAGATCTGAAATAAAGTTTAATCAGTAATTATAATATAACAATAAATCTGTTATGAGTAAAGCTTCTAAATAAACAACCATTTATGAGGCGGTTCTGTAAGTGCCCTCAAGCACAAGCTCGAGTACTCACGAGCTTCATGTTGTAGGGATGTGAGGGTGAGTGTGAGGGTGAGTGTGTGTGGCCGCCTTATATACCATCCCAGTGAGAGGTCGACCGAGGTCACACTAGCCAGTAATTGACCTTCTGCAGGTTTTTAACGTGACCTTTAAACTTGTGCGACGTCTATGAGAGAACGTTTTATTTCTTCAGTTGCTGTTGTTCGAGTCCCTGAGCCTGGCCTGAGGACCGTGTGATGGCACTCGGAGAGGCACAGTGCCACGACACACACTGGCACGTTCCACATCGAGGCTCAGTAGCGCCCTCTTATGCATCTGTGGTTAACTGGCAATATAATAACGAGCAATATAATGCTCGTTAATCCAGCTACCAAACTTTTAGTGTAACTCGTCCTCAATAAAGTTTTCGACTGGGCATCAGAAAATAACATGATGTTTAACAGTGATAAATTCCAGGTACTCAGGTACGGTAAAAATGAGGACCTTAAACATAATACAGAGTACAAAACACAATCAAATGTACCCATAGTAGGAAAACAGCATGTAAAGGATTTGGGAATAATAATGTCTGACGACCTAACGTTTAAGGAGCATAACCAAGCAAATATTGCGACAGCCAGAAAAATGATAGGATGGATTACGAGAACTTTCAAATCCAGGGATCCCATCACAATGGTTGTACTCTTCAAGTCACTTGTGTTGTCCCGTCTTGAGTACTGTTCAGTACTCACTTCCCCCTTCAGAGCAGGAGAGATTGCTGAAATAGAGGGAATACAGAGAACATATACGGCACGCATAGACGCAATAAAGCACCTAAATTATTGGGATCGTCTCAAAGCCCTCCAAATGTACTCACTAGAAAGAAGACGAGAGAGATATCAAATAATATACACCTGGAAGATACTGGAGGGCCAAGTACCAAATCTACACAGTAAAATAACAACGTACTGGAGTAAACGATATGGAAGAAAATGTAGAATAGAACCAGTGAAGAGCAGAGGTGCCATAGGCACAATCAGAGAACACTGTATAAACATCAGAGGTCCGCGGTTGTTCAACGTCCTCCCAGCAAGCATAAGAAATATTGCCGGAACAACCGTGGACATTTTCAAGAGGAAACTAGATTTATTCCTCCAAGGAGTGCCGGACCAACCGGGCTGTGGTGGGTATGTGGGCCTGCGGGCCGCTCCAAGCAACAGCCTGGTGGACCAAACTCTCACAAGTCAAGCCTGGCCTCGGGCCGGGCTTGGGGAGTAGAAGAACTCCCAGAACCCCATCAACCAGGTATCAACCAGGGGCTTGGGGAGTAGAAGAACTCCCAGAACCCCATCAACCAGGTATCAACCAACCAGACCAAGATCATTCCATCCAACGGTCGACCCCAAAGACGCATTCATCAAATTTTTACATGCTATTCATTCAAAACAGGAATTTTCTCAAATATAAATTAATATTATTTTATATTACCATATTGTACATATCTATGCACTGGTTAGGTTAGGTTTGGTATTTAGGTTCTATTAGCGATTATTCGCATTTGTAGTACGTGGGTGAAGCATTTATAGCGTTGTGGTTCGAACAAAATTTGTCAGTGAAGCGCTTGATCCGGAAGTGTTTGAACGTCATCAGTTGTGAGTCGTGTGTAAACTGTTTTTCATTCATAAACAGCGGGGGGTTTGGCGGGTGCATGGAATGGACTTTGGGTTTTTGTTTGGAGAAGGGGCTGCTGGAGGTGAGGAGAGGTGTGTTCTCTGAACCGGAGGTCAGGAGAGGTAATACAATTAAACGTTTAAGCAACAGGCTAGTTACCTCAACATACAGTATCAATAATATTCTAAAGTTACAAAGTTCTCACTAAACATCACGTGATATGACTTTATCTTATTAATAAAACATAACATATGGCGACGGTAAGACTCTCACGGCTACAGATAACTTTAAACAAAATATATAATATTTATATATACAAATATATATATAAATAATAATACAGTGCTCGTGAATATATCAAACCAAAAGTAATCATCTGCCTGTTGACGGGGTGGGGGGGGGGGGGAGGAGAGAGGAACGCTCTGTGAGAAAGAGGCTCTTTTTGTGCTTCTTGGCAATGCATTTTATACATTTATTTTGCCTGGAAACAATAAACTTTTAGTCTTGGAGCGAAGTCTCGATAGATCGCTCAATCACCTAGTTTTGAAAGTTGTAAATCAACTTCTGAAGTATCTAACTGACCTCTTAAGTGCTCAATGGACCTTTAAAATGCCAATCCTACTTCTGAACCGTCGCGCCCTTTGCTTGAGGCAGCCCGTCCTTATAAACAAAGCCAAAAGCTTGTTAACTCAGCCTGCAAACCCGCTGTTTATGAATGCAAAACGGTTTACACACGACTCACAACTGATGATGTCCGAACACTTCCGGAACAAGTGCTCCACTGACGACTTTTGTTCGAACCACAACGCTGTAAATGCTTCACCCACGTACTACAAATACAAATAATCGCCAACAGAACCTAAACACCTAACCTATACCTACGCCTAACTATTCAAAGCATTTTAATGTATAATAATATTAATTTATATATGAGAACAAAGTAATTTTTAATACACATTATGTTAAAATTGATGAATGTGTCTGGGGGGAGGACGGCCACTGCTTTAACCAGCCTAGATTGAGTACGGGTTGTCTGGGGAGGACGGCCGCTGCTTTAACCAGCTCAGTGTGAGGACGGGTTGTCTAGGGAGGACGGCCGCTGCTTTAACCAGCCTAGTGTGAGGACGGGTTGTCTGGGGAGGACGGCCGCTGCTTTAACCAGCCTAGAGTGAGGACGGGTTGTCTGGGGAGGACGGTCGCTGCCTTAACCAGCCTAGAGTGAGGACGGGTTGTCTGGGGAGGACGGCCGCTGCTTTAACCAACCTAGTGTGAGGACGGGTTGGGGCTAGACACATGGATATTCACATACTAAAAGGCTAAGCATGTAGCCACACGTTAAGCAACTATAGACCGTTTTCCCTTCACTTGCTCAGTGTGTGTGTGAGTTTGGTTATAAATATTGTAGAACGGAAACTATGTAAACAAATACATTTCATTAAAAGCGGCTCCAGCAAGTCAACAGCACCAAGACTAGTAAAGTAACTGGTTATATTACTGGTGTAAGCAAGGGAAACCGAGCCGCCTGGCCTGATAATGTTGTCAACACACGACTACACACAGAGACCAAGGGATGAGTTGGAGAAACTGGCGACATTTGAGCGACGTTCTCTGACACATCTATTCTGGGATAAGAGTTCTGCTGAGGGTTTCACTCACGAATGCACTCAGAACTTGTCCACTCCCACATGCACTTAGAACTCGTCCTGTAGAGCGTTTCACTCACGAACACTCTCACAGTTCGTCCAGCAGTTAGAGCACGTCACATTCTGATGAAATACTCTGGCTAGCATTTGGGTCACGTTATTCAAGGAACTTACATGTGACCTAAATGCCAGTATTGATGTTATTTTAAGGAAAAGCTGTAGACTAACTGCTTTAAATTACATGTTTTAAGAGTATGTGTGTGTGTGTGTGTGTGTGTGTGTGTGTGTGTGTGTGTGTGTGTGTGTGTGTGTGTGTGTGTGTGTGTGTGTATGTGTGTGTGTGTGTGTGTGTGTGTGTGTGTGTGTGTGTGTGTGTGTATGTGTGTGTGTGTGTGTGTGTGTGTGTGTGTGTGTGTGTGTGTGTGTGTGTGTGTGTGTGTATGTGTGTGTGTGTGTGTGTGTGTGTGTGTGTGTGTGTGTATGTGTGTGTGTGTGTGTGTGTGTGTGTGTGTGTGTGTGTGTGTGTGTGTGTGTGTGTGTGTGTGTGTGTGTGTGTGTGTGTATGTACTTACCTAGTTGTGTTTGCGGGGGTTGAGCTCTGGCTCTTTGGTCCCGCCTCTCAACTGTCAATCAACTGGTGTACAGATTTTTGAGCCTATTGGACTCTATCATATCAACACTTGAAACTGTGTATGGAGTCAGCCTCCACCACATCATTTCCTAATGCATTCCATTTGTCAACCACTCTGACGCTAAAAAAGTTCTTTCTAATATCTCTGTGGCTCATTTGGGCACTCAGTTTCCACCTGTGTCCCCTTGTGCGTGTGCCCCTTGTGTTAAATAGCATGTCCTTATCTACCCTATCAATTCCTTTGAGAATCTTGTATGTGGTGATCATGTCCCCCCCTAACTTTTCTGTCTTCCAGTGACGTGAGGTTTAACTCCCATAGACTCTCCTCGTTGCTCATTCCTCTCCGTTCGGGTTATTAGACCTTTCAGACCAGTTGGCATGAGGTACCTGGAGCTCTGCAATTACTTTATTCACTCTCGTATTCTTGAAGATATCCTCACAGTATACCCAAAATTTGCCAGTGCAGGCTATTAAACACATGGCCCTGTATGACTAACCATCCTGCGAGATGGGGACTTGTATTACCACTGCTACCTTATTCAATCTTGTGTTGTTGATATCCTCAAAATGCATCCGGAGTCTGCCAGTGCAGACCGCTTATCACATGCCTCTGTATGACTAACCATCCTGTGTGATGGGGATTTTTTAGCATCACCTAGTTAGCTTTTTTTTTTGACACACTGTACTCCACTTCATATAGTCTAGGGTAGCTGCACTAATGCAGATGTACCTAATATGTTAATAAAAAAAAAAAAATCCGTTCGGGTACTAGTCTGGTGGCAAACCTTTGAACCTTCTCCAGTTTAGTCTTATGCTTGACTAGATATGGACTCCATGCTGGAGCTACATACTCCAGGATTGGTCTGACATATGTGGTATACAAAGTTTTGATTGATTCCTTTCACAAGTTCCTAAATGCCGCTCTTATGTTAGCCAACCTGGCATATGCCGCTGATGTTATTCTCTTGATATGAGCTTCAGGGGACAGGTCTGGCGTGATATCAACCCCCAAGTCTTTCTCTCTCTCTGACTCTTGAAGAATTTCATCTCGCAAATGATACCTTGTATCTGGTCTCCTGCTCCTTACACCATCTTCATTACGTTACATTTGCTTGGATTAAACT